GGGGGGGGGGAGGGGGGTCTTATTATTTTCGTGGGATTTTGTTGTATCGCTTAATTATGTGAGGGCTTCGCGTGGTGTTTTGTGGATTTAAGGTCTTGCTTTGAAAAGTGGAATTCTGAGAAGGTTCTGGGAACTTGGTAGTCGATAAAAGAACAATATTATCATATTTCATTCTCAATGGATGTAGTGGCTCCCCAGAATTTAGCACGTCTAGACTACCAATGGGCTATTTAATATTCCCAACTTTTAGCCAGTACTCTACCACCCCACGAGCAATCTTGATGCCACTCAGCACAACCCACGACTAAATAAATGAAAGCGTAAATCTTGACACATCCCAACATAAGACCAATAAACAACCTCCAAACTGACCCGAAGAGTACGCCCATTATACCACCTCAAATATAACAGCGTCAAACGCCTCTAAATCATTAGTATAGCAGTAACTCTATCTTTTTTTTCACAGTTAGATGCCTCCACAATCAAGGACAAAACACAATTGGTACAAATATTCCCAGTACAGTACACTATTGCCACTCCATGAAACACCCAGTTAAGCTCACCACCGTTCACTGCAGTATGTGAAGTGGTCTCTCCGAGTCTCTTAGCCGTACAGCCAGTATCGCTTGTCAAATAGTCGACATCCTTGACATATAACTGCACACCAAGATCTAAAGATCAAGCTAGATTATTTGAGATGCCAGAAAGCTAAGCCCCCGAGTAAAGAAGATCATGGAGTATTTGACTTTGGGACTAACAATTCGCTCACTACCTACTCGGTATATACCCGACTTGATGGTTGTGTGTTTTACTCTTTTGAAGCGGGTTACTTCGTTAACTACAAAGGTGAAAGCCTTTATCTTTATAACAGAAACGTGCTTTGTTTTTAACTTACGTTGTTTCATCGAGGTCGTTGACTGAATATTGTTCGGAGCCTCCAAACCTCTGGCCCAAAATTCTTCAAGGCCTTCTTTGAATTTTGATTCTATCTTTCTCTCGACGAGTGCCAAGGTCTGAGACTTGCTATCAAGCTCAGAGTCAATCGTCTGAATAAGCAAGGCATTTGTATGCTGCGCATGCGCAGCATATCTCTTGAGGGCGCAGGCAAGTTACAGTACCTTCCCAGATTCACCCGCCCCCCTAATCCTCGCTTAGTAACCAATCACCAACCCCCTACGTCCGCGTCCGCAACCACTCTCCTCGAGTACAACATAAAAAAACCTCCACAAACGTCTAAAACCCCCCAAAACCGACCAAAACCGACCAAAACCGACCAAAAAAACCACAAAAATTCCTAACGCCTTTTGAGGCGCCGCCAGGGAGCGTAAACCAAACGAACTGAATTTTTCCATTGAGCCATCATTCCTGCGCTCTTCCGTTTTTAGCTAACAGGCACCATATTTCAGTGTGTACGGCCGTTGTCTCAGTGGTAACATGCCAACGTTTTAACATGCTACCGCTAAGCCAGATAGACATATTCCGTGGAAACGTACAAACGATTGACAGTGGGTCGCTTACTTGGCCCTTTATCGATGTGGGTGTGTATTTGTGTGGGGCTGGATGCTAGCGTGAATGGGAACCCGAGATGGGGCCGAGGGATAAGGCTGTTGAGGCAATGGATGGGAAGTGCTGGACGAGAGGAGGATATGTGGAAGAAATTGGAATTGCTGATACAAGTTAATGGTTACACAGGAAGGAGACACGGGCAATCTTGTCGCGTCATTTTATCTCCCTGTAAGAAGATGCTATTTTGGGAACCAGGATAAAGACAAGTAGCGATGCTCGAAAGTTCATTGGAATCCAAATGGAACATGATCCGAAGTGGAAGGTAACATTCAGATCGCGAATGTGTTGGATTGGATACCAATATGAAGACCTCGCTCTAGCTCTGGCCGCGAAAGATGGAGTCACATACACATATACCGTAAACATTGAGGCTCAATACTTCATGGCCGCTATGAGTGTCTACGAGCTATATCCCGAAAAGTCACAAGATCCTGTTCCTAAGCACTGGAAAGGAGAAGCTGGGATTCGGTGACTTTGCGTGAAGGTGGAAGGCGACCACAACGGCGCGAAACCTTGTAGCACTCTACTATGGGCTTTAGTTATTAATTTTGCCGCGAGTAATTAGTAATGAGAGGGTTCCTCAGGAGTCTATATCTTTGAGCATAGAAAACCTCTACCAGAACGTGCGCCGAAAGTATCCGGCTTATTGCTCTTGGATACCAACTCAATGTCGAAGAACTATAGCGGGTAGACTCAGTGAATTACTATATGACTGTCGTCGTCCTTTGGCTACTCTTTGTTCCCTTTGGGTAGATTTCCATGCTTCGTTTTGTTGGAATCGTTGGAATTCTATTCTGTTCTTCTAGCAGTATCATAAAACATCTGCAAGATCTAAAAATTATCAAATTCAACTACTCAGCAAGGAGATCCTGCATTTTCGAGCCTCTTAATTTGGATCAGCCATGCGCTTTTCGATAGCTATCATCAGCAGCAGCTTGTAGAACGACTGAGCCGTGGCGATCACCGGGATGATACGCAAGTTATGGAAAACAAGTATGAAAAGATGTCAGGTTAAACTTTGAGCCTTATAATCACAATTAACCGCGTATAACCACTTCCAAGGGCATCATCCTAAGATCATAAAATGGAGTGGGTTCACAAGCTACTGGCGGCTCTGTAACCCTTTCTCTTCTCAAGATGTATTTCGAAATTCTCCACTCACCGGTTGCGAGATGACCGTAATAAGAGTCTGGTTCAACGTACTGTCATCCTCCAAGATATTCATTATATACCCTAGATTCTGTATTGTCGCTTATCGTTTCTCGAGTTCTTAAAAGTAGTCTTTACCTTCCCAAATATATATCACGTCCTCGACATCAAGAAAGCGCAAATACTCCTTGGCAGATCCATTCCACATCACACTTACTAGCTACATACTAAAAAGAACCTGATTCGTTCTTTACTAGTAAGTATTCAATAATTTTAGCTGCAAAATATGCATCAGCCATAGCTTCTAACCTCAAAATACGGTACCGGTGGTATCTAACTTAAGCGAGCGTAATATACCCCTTTGAATTTTACCTTGAAAAGTCAAAACAGCAGAAGTTCTCTGGACATATCCATGCTGTCTCCTAATAGACCAGAAAAGTGACAGTAGATTTCCCTCTTCCAAGTTATGATTCTATGTTTTTTGATTAAACTGAATAATCGTATAATTAACCTAGATCTTCAGATTGATTACCTACCGCGGCTAAGAAAGTTCATTCATAATTCGTCTTCTTACTGGAATTTCTAGTAATCAAACCTCTACTGACGAATTCGAACTTGGTTGTATGCTACTACTTTTCTTGTTCCAAATTTCCTGGTTATGATCTCAGAGGATGCACGTGCCACATCCGAGTGCCAAAAAGCGGGAGCAACTGCAGCGTCCCAACAAGCCCATCTAACTTTAACATTTACGACATTCATCCCACCACTATTGAAACAATGACATAGTCACTAGACCCAAAACTCATCAAGCCAGGCCATTTTTTATTTGACCACCTCAATCACCCCATCAAGACCGACAATGCTTGCGGTAACCTCAATCGGATGAGACTCTCCAACGATAGGAGTATACCATGCTCCTCCCACCTCCGACTCTCAGCTTCACGATTCCCTCGATCCACGATGACCTGATTTTAGACTGTCGAGTTTATCATCCGATATGCCTCGCCCCAACCAAGATTTCGCAGGTAGAGGAATGGCATAAGAAAGTCGCCATCATCGCTCATCCTTACGCGCCGCTTGGGTATGGATCTGCTGCGTCGGGATTTCTCTCTACTGAACGCTAATCGGAAGATAATAGTGGAAGTTATGACGACCCCATCGTGGAAAGACTAGCAGCCATCATACTTAAGCAAGGCTTTTGCGTTGGCACATTCAACTTCAGGTTCATCAACCGCCCCGGGGATTTTTGCTTCACGGGCTAACAAGATTGGTGGTTTAGAGGGGCAGGTACTTCAAGAGGAAAGACATCATGGCAGTCGAAAGCCGAACAGAAAGATTACATCTCCTTCATTGGATTCATGGCCCATTACATTCACGATCTTTCTCCGCCCCCTATACCTCCTTCCCCGACGGAACAAGCCAGGTTTACACGGTCAGACTCTGCTTTACACGACCTCACTCCAGTTCCTTCTCAGACCGTCCCTCCACCGCACGATGGCGATGACCGACTCCTCTCTCCTACCACCATTAAGCAATTTCCGAGTACCATGCAGAAGGATCCCAATACCCATAAGACGCGACCAAGATTATTGCTGGCGGGGTATTCATACGGTGCCATGGTAACATGTAGTCTCCCCGCCCTTCTAAGCTCCATCCTAGAGCCCTTTCAATCGCCCGAGCCAGGTACAGCTCATGCCGAAATCTGTCTGCGAGCGCAAAATCTCGCCGCGCAGCAGAACAAGTATATTCATGCCCAGATATCAGAGGTCTTGTACGCAGCTCGTCACAGTCGGGGTCGCAGCCTCCAGATAGACGATATCTTTTCGGCTCCAACGAGTCCAAGGTTCCGCAGGACAAGTGGCGTTGTTCGGATTGGAGGGGACGAGGATTTCAGACGAGCTAGCCACGACTCTTTCCGCTCCCGAAGTTCGTTTTCCATTGAGACCCAAGAGCGGGTGCGGAAAAGTGTCGATCGTGTACGCTCGTTAACAAAATTCACTCGATTTCCCCATCCACAGCGCGCAACTAGCAGCGGATCCTGGGCATCCTTCGAAAGCTATGCGTCCAACGCATCTATCGACAGGAATTTCAGCAAGAGCGATCAGAAGTTACCAGAAGAGGTGGTTATCGATATCAAAGCAGTTCCCGAGATCCTGGACGAGTTTCAAACCGCATACATCCTCATATCTCCCCTTAGAGGTCTCATCAACAGCCTCGCAACAATGTGGACCTACAAACCCACGAAAGTCCTCCCAGAACCAGAAATGAAATTCACGGTCGATCCAACCCTTGCGCTCTTTGGAGATGACGATGTATTTGTGAGTGCGAAACGGTTACGAAGTTGGGCGAGGAAATTAGAAAATATGGGAAAGGAGAACAAACGGGATTCATTGGTGTTTCGGTATCGGGAGGTCAAAGGGGCAGGCCACTTTTGGCATGATCATGAGGCCCTTGAGGTATTGAAGGAAGAAGTCCGGGACTTTGTAGCGAGTTTGTGATAACGCGTAGAAGAGATTATGAGTGTAAATGATAGCCGGAAAGCCTAATGTTAGAAGCTTTCTTTGTTTGGTCGATATTCCTATGACAATCAAATTGGAATCATAACGATCAATTGTTGTCTAATCGAAGCTCCTTGGAGCGTTCTCACCTACAATCACTATCTTTATATGCGCGATCGATAGCAGTTATTTCATGGAAATTAAAGGAAAGAAGATCTTGCTGCTGCGCCGCTGCCTTTTTTCTACTCATTCGCTTCCTAGAAAATGTCTCTCGCTAACCTAGTAACCCCTATGAGACGAATACCTCCAAGGGTGATAACTCGTTCATCCTCGTACTATTAGAGATGAGCACATCATACGATGACTACGAGTCTCACGTTGCTAGTAAATCACGAATAAACTCCCATTCATTACAAAAATTGCATCAAATCATTTGGTATTTTCTCTATGCCACCGTCTTCATTAACACATTACGTGCGAGCCCTCATTCCTGATATGCCCCGGCCCTGCTTTGTTTCGTCTCATTCATGGAATAGATACTATAGACCTTCGGACGTGAAGAGTGGATTGGTGATCTGGGCATCGCTGAGTGAAGTAGCTCAACAACCAAATTTGACTTTCTTTTGGAACAGCAATTGGCAAATTTAACCCGACAGTCCCAAGTTCTTCTCAGCCTTGATAACACGGAGACTACAGAGAATGTTAGCTATGGTATCTCAATGTAAAGTGTTTGGAACTTACGTGTTGGTGTTACCCATACCACCCTTCCATCCTTGAACAACGACAACGGTCTCACCCTGGCTCAAAACACCAAGCTTCATAGCCTCAGCAATACCCCAGGTAATTCTTCGGTCCACATCCTCTTGCCAGTTGACCTTGCTAAAGTCTGGCTTTTGCTCTGGGAAGTAGAATGGGTAAACACCACGATACAAGTGACCATATCGGGAAGCACTTGGGTTTCGGGTAACCATGAAAATTGGGCAGACTGGTCTGTACTTGGAAAGAAGTCGGGCACTGTCACCACTGGTGGAGAGGACAATAATAGCACCGGCATTCATGTCCAAACTGGCACGAACAGCAGCCATAGCACAAGACTCAACAATTCCGACAGGTCTTTGGGCAAGCTGGGTGAGCTCCTCAAAGTGGGAAACATATGCGATGGTGTTCTCGGCCTTCAAGCAGGTCTGGGACATCTCGCGAATCGACTCGTTGGGGTAATCACCCTTAGCAGTCTCTCCAGACAACATGACACAGTCAGCTCCATCAGTAACGGCGTTACCAACATCACTGATCTCAGCACGGGTTGGTCGAGGGTTGTAAATCATGGACTCGAGCATTTGAGTGGCACAGATAACTGGCTTTCCGGCAATGTTACACATGGCAATCAACTTCTTTTGGGCAGCGAAAACCTCTGCAGCTGGAATTTCGATACCGAGATCACCACGAGCAACCATGACACCGTCAGTCTCCTTCAAGATCTCGGCAAAGTTGTTGAGACCTTGTCTGTTCTCAATCTTGGCGATGATCTGAATGTGCTTGCCATCTTCACCGAGAACTTCTCGGATAGATTTGATATCCTCACCACGTCGGATGAATGATGCAAAGACCATATCCACGTTGTTCTTGACACCAAATCGGAGATCTGCCTTATCCTTCTCGGACAAAGCTGGAAGGTCGACATCGGTATCTGGGAGGTTGACACCCTTCTTGGAGGAAATCTTGCCATTGTTTCGTGCGCGAGCTCGAACGGTCTTCTCGTCGACAATCTCAAGGACATCAAATGCCAGAACTCCGTCATCAACGTAGATGATACGTCCCTTCTCGATCACCTTCGTGATGTTCTTGTAGTCAACGTACCTGTTTCCCAAAGATTAGCCGTGTCCAGACGATTTAGCAGAAAATCGAACGGGGGGTAGATGACTTACATGTTCTTGTCATCGCATGCGGTGGCATATTTCTCGTCGGTGGTGATATTGATCTCGGTACCGGCAGCGATTGGGATATCTGCATCACCAACGGTGTTTCCAGTTCTGATCTCTGGGCCCTTGGTGTCCAAAGCAATGGCAACTTGACGGCCAGCTTGAATCTTCTCGGCCTCGCGGGTGTTGTCAATAACTGATTGATGGTACTCGTATGAACCGTGGGAGAAGTTCATGCGGACCACATTGAGACCTGACGTTCGGAGTTTGTTGATGGCCTCGACTGAGTTGGTCTTTGGGCCAATTGTGCAGATGATGGAGGTACGGCGGTAGTTCTTTGCGGGCTTGAGATCCGTATTGAGGTTGGAGATCCATTCAAGCTTGGTCGCACCAGCGGAGAGATGATCCATTGCGGTAGCCATGTTGGTGAGGAGGGTGAGGGTTGGGAGGGAGGCGGGGTTATGAGTGATTTAAGTAGAAGTAGGGATACGGAGGCGGGATTGCGGCAAAGGCAAGCAAGGAAAGTAGAGTAGGTATCGTATCGGAAAGGGTGTGAGGCGGGTGTTGGAGGAGGGAGGGAGAGTTATTTATTCGTGCAGGAATGGTCTGCACCAGCCGGGTCAGTTTGGGAGCTCAACTCTTTTTTTTTCTGTGCAGGAAAGCACTTGGTGGGGGTAGGGGTCGCCTACGGAGTAGAGCTTTCGGGACCGAGACTAACGGTGGAAATTAGATCAGTGAGGTGGTGTAGTGTAGGTAGTAGTGAAGAGAGCAGCCAGTAGTAACTTTTACGAGGCCACGAGTTATATATAAGGAAATGGGGGTGCGCGTGGGGTCTCCGTGGGGAACTGAAGTCAATGTAGAAACCTTCTACTCACACGTTTTGAGGGAATTTTCCTTAGTGAAGGGACTTATGATAATGGAGGGGCGGTGCTTTTTTTGGAGTGCTGAACCACCACTACTACCCCACCTGGTGCCGCTGTCTAGATAGTAGCGAGGGGTACCCTGGGGCACTTGCGAGCCCCAGTCATTCGCTGATCTGACCACAGGCGCGGCTTTCCCCTCTCATTGGTGATAACGATTCCTCACTGAGGCTACAGGCTGGGCAAGATCCTTTAGTGTATCAAAAGCTTGCATACCAAGCCATCACCACCACCTCAAGCGACCACACAAACGGTGTACAGCACACCTCGGGTCCATCTCCAGGCATATTATCGCATATCCAGGTCCATCCTAGAATCGTTGGCCAGTCTGGGCATTGGCACTCTGTTTGGTCACTTTCTGCCCTGTCAGTGGTCCCGTCGTCCGCGGTATCGTGAACCTGGCCTGGAACATACCTATATTAGGTAGACGCTACCTGATAGTCGGTGCGTCTATTAAGCCTAGCTCGCCTAGGGAGGTATTTAGGTATTTAGGTATTTATCTGAGATTGTCAGGTGACATGACTGGCGTGAATTTCCACGTGATTCGTTGTGGAGGCCAGGGAGGCCTAGCATGAATGCGGCATTAGCTTGAAGACTCCACCCTCGCTGAGGCATCATCAGACGCAGACAAATTGATCCGAGTCAACAGATCAGCCGCAAGATAACCACCACCAGAAGCATAAACATACCACTACCTCTACAACACCAACAGCCCACTTCCATCACCCACGTTTGCGCCACCAAAAGCAAGAATCGCATCCCATCGCATTATCCCCAGCAATCATGGTTGTCAGTTGCCCTTACTCCAGTTGAGATTCCACGGAACCTAATCAACTCAGTTCCTCAACTTACTAACATTTGGTTTGTGGGGAAAGCTCGGAAGATTAACTCACTATGCATTTGATGCTGTTCTGAGTATGTTGCTGACAAGTGAGATCTTCTTTGAGAACATCTGCTAATGCGCCAGTAGTTTCCACCATCCTGGCTGGCATGAAGCGGTCAACCGGCTTGACGTATGTCGAACCCTCCATATCCCAATTCCTCCGTCTCTTCAAACAGATATCCCGTCGCGAGTCCTTCTTTGGCATATAAAAGTGGTATGAAGTTGCGGACGGGGATATCGAGAACCAGGGCTCGCGAAAACTCATGTCGTACCACCAAACAAAGCACATTTGACTAACAATCCCCATCCTCCGGGACCATAGTGTTAGTTTCAAGAAAGACACCATCACGCAAAACAAGGAAGTCAACCATTGGATCGAGCGCTACCTTGGAGTCGGCGAATGGGTAATGGATCAATCCGTGGCCATCGCTGGGTCCAGCCCCTGGTTCGAGCGAAAGCGATGATCGAGGAGCGCCAAGGACGGCATCATGTAGAGTTAAAAAACATTGGGCAACGAAGATATGAGCATCGATACGGGAATATGAAGGCGATAGGATGGAATAGCATAGGCAATGGCGGCGATACCGAAGAAGAGTAGATGAAGGCGTTATTTTATTTGGATTTGGCTTTGCGACGATGCGACTTGGGACAATGTTTTTTTGCTTCAGACGTGGGCGAGTAGTGGTTCATTCCTCTCGGTCAGATAATACTGTGTATATTGTTGCGAGACTCCCAAACTTGTTCTGATGTGAAAACCAGAACTCCCATGTTTTATCATCTCATCCACTTCTTACTCCTCCCAGCCGAGGGCCGAGGTAATCACATCAAAAACGTATGAAATGGCTAAGGGGAAGATTTCACGATATCCAAAGGCATAGAACAGTCACAACCCCAAACTCCATACACTCCATACCTAGACTTTCCCTAAGCAATAGACAACCCTCCAAAAAAGAGAGAAGAAAAAAGTAAGGGATACTAGACTAATGGGTAGGTATACTTGATCACCAAGGTACTTATACTATTCTCCTAGATCCACAATCTACCCATCTAATACTACCTGTCTAAATAGGTACTCAGTTTCGTTTTTTAGTCTTATTCAAATTCCACTCTTTAACTACCATAAAGTAGAGGTGCGTGGAAGGTGCTACCAGGGTATATAACTAAATCTATACACCTACCTACTTATATCTTTAATTCCCTCCCTTTTATATATTATCTACGCTTTCTAATTATCTAGGTCCCCTAGTTTTACTAAGCTAAAATCTTAAAATCACTTACGAAATAGACGTAGATCATTAGGGGAGTCTTACTATAGGGTAAAAATTAGACTTTTCAGATAACAAGGTAGGAAGTTATAAAATCTTTAGATTTAATAGACTAGGGTATGAATATTAAAATCTACTATTTCTACTAGCTCTATACCTTAGTTGTACCTATGTAATCACATCTACTCCCAGTGGGTCCTGAGTCTGATTCGAATGAGACCAAAACGAAACCGAGTGTAAGATATACTTACTATACCTACGTTTTTTCTCCGAATTTTCGAGACTACTGCAAACTCAACTAGGTAACCAAGTAATAGTCGGAAATGGGGTTCTAGTAAAAGTATTTCCTTCTTCTTTTTTCTGCTATGACAAGTAACGATATTTGTAGTAAGAATATATGAATGCTCTCATTTCGCGTTTCCGTTGCTCTTACTGTACAGTAATGCTAAGCGAGGTAGGGTTAGGTATTTACATACCAAAACACCATGCACATCAGACAAATACCCAAGCGTCCTCATAAAAATGAAGGAATAATCATAAATATCCACTACAATAAGGTATCTATCTCATCCACATACCGCGCTAAAAAAAAAGAACAATAGAATCCCCCTCATCAATCAATATCAATATCAATGACCAGGCTCAACCAACAACTCCGGACTCGGCCCCTCATCCTCACTATCCAGCGGATCTTCAACTTCCCTCCCACCTTTAAGACCAAGACCGTTCATCTCCTGCAATCCATTCCCCTCAAGTAACAACTCCGGACCCGGACCCTCATCCTCGCTCTCCTCCCGTGCAACAACTTGTCCATCCATCTCTTCTAGTCCATGACTCTCACTCTTCGGTGGGGGTTGTATTTCATCGTGTTTCTCAGTGACTACTCCCGAGATAGTTCTCAGCACGCCCCTCCACATCTCCTCGCCTTCTTTGAATGCCGCTAACTCAGCGCCGATAGCACAGATTAATAGATTCCACCCGCGTTCCTCGGCGGTCTTCACAGCTTCTGATAGCTTCCCAATCACAGGTTCCATTTTATCGATTTGTGTCTGCAGCATTGAGGGATCCGGGGTGCCTGCCATCTGCTTCCGCAAATCGTCTTCGAATTCCGTGACCACTTGTATAGAATCTTGCCATAACTGTGCTCCTTCCTCAAGCGCAACTTTCTCCTTCTCCACTTCCTCTTTGCGCGTCCTTAGCTGAGAGATTTCTTTATTCCACCATTCCTTTGCCATTCCCAACGTCCTCCGATTAGTGGGTAAAGCCATGAAGCCCTGCTCTTCGCCCATGATAGCTGATACCGTGACCGGAGGACGTTTGAGGAATTGTTTAACTTCCGACTCGGCTTCTCGTAGTGCCCCTCGGTAGCTACTCAATCGAGCTTCTTGTCTGTTGACAGCCTCGCTTATCCGCTCTCCTACCCATCGTTTCTTAGCTTTCATCTGTGCCAGTCGGTCTTCCATCTCCCTGATCTCAGAATCCATAGCCTGTTCCTCGGTCCTTAAACCCTCAAGCTCTCTCGCAACTTCCCCTGCGTCCTCATTCTCTCCACTGGCAGCACCACTCAACTGTTGTCTCGCGCCCTCAATCCTCTTCTCCCACACCTCAACTTTCAAAAGAACTTTATCCCTCCTCTCAATCTCCACATCAAGAATACCACTCTCCTCATCCTTAACTCCCACAAGCTCCCCCATATCCCTCAACAACCCCCTCCTCGCACTCCTAAGCCCAACAACCTTCTTCTTCGGCTGCCTCACAGGCACAACCCCCTTCCCATTCCCACTCCTCGACCTACTCCTCCTCTCACCCAACCCACTCCTCGAAGTAGGCGTCGCACTTCCCTCCGACCCATCCACACTCCCTTTCCTCTCGCCCCCAAAACCCTGTACCAACCCCGCCGACTGCGCATCCAAGATCTCCTGCAACTCCCTCTGAATCGCAACCTCCTTCCTACCCAGTATCACCAGCGGATCCATCCCCTCTCTCACAACAGCCGGTGGACTCCTCAAACCCCCTCCACCACCCGTCTCCCGTCCCCATTTCGGGCTCTTCTCCGCGGGTTTCCGTCCATGGAAGAGGACGCTGGATGTGATAGGTGGTGGTGGGGCTGCAAATTGTATTCTTCGCTTTTGCGTACGTTCGGGGGAGGGAGAGAACTGGAAGGGTCGTCCATCTTCGTCGTCGTCGTGGTAGGGTGATGCGCCGTCGGTATTGAGGTTGTTATTTGCCGAGTTCTTTGCGCGGTAGAAGGAGGGAGGAGGGGAGGGAGAGACGGCTTGACTTGGACGGGGAGAGAGATCTTCGAGGTCGAAGGGGGTGGTGCGTTCTTGGTCGTGTTGGAGGGGGAGGAGGGAATTGGTGTCCCTTGAGCTTGGGGATCGGGCGAACATCTTGGGTTTGTTGTTTGCTGTTTATATTCTGACGTGGGTTTGCTCCTTTCCTTCCTTTTGGATATTTTGCATTTCTGGGTATTTTTGGTGCTTGGTTATAATGAGGAATTGCGATGTAGACTGTGACCCACTGAATGCGATGTTGATGTGGTATTGTTCGTTCTGTCCTCACATGTTCATGCTCGTGTTATTAACTTGGGTCATCTGTAAATGCAACCTGTTTACATCCGCTGATTTCTTGAGACACGTAGTCATGTGTTCAGGCGCAACGATAGGCCGCTGCAGTGAATGTTATAGTGATGTGTACTCGAGTATCGTGTGATAGCTTCTCGTCCCCAAGCTTCTATCTGCCATTCAGAAGCCACGCCCTATGTCATCGGCGAAGATCCCTGTCAAAAATGAAAGCCCCGGCTCAGTTGCCTACTAGTTGAATTGTGAATAGCGTTCTTCTTTCTAGAAACCTTCTACCACGTAATTGTTCTAGTTTTAAGGAGCATCTAAATCATATTCGAATATCCCAAAAAATACGTCTGTTGACAAATACTTTTTAGAATAACTACCTAGGTATCCCAAGAAGTATCGGTATCAAACGCGCCGCTTTTACTCTCCATCTCCATATATGTCTCAGACAACCTGGCCATCCTCAACCTCTTCAGCGCATACCTAGGTAGTTTGTACTCAAAGTATACCCAAAACCATAATCCAGCACTTAATTCTCAAAGTGACCTAGTATAGAAGACAAACCCCCAATTTCCCCACGCTATTTTAGTTCCTCCATTACTGAACAAGTACTAACCCGACAAACCTGCCCCACTGTCCTCAGCTAGTAGTACAGGTACGGATGACAGACGTCCGATGTACCTAGGTAGTGAAGGTGCAAGAATATAAAAGATCAGTAGTCTAACACAGAATTAATACTGATTTCCATTCAATCCCTTCTTGATCTCTCTACCCAGTTCAAGCACTACTTCTCTTACAAAAACACCCATATTCAAGAAGGAAAGCGAGCCGAAATCCTGGGCACCCCGCAATCTTCTGTACTGTACCTAGATCACTGTACAACCATGACTTCGTCAGTGCATCACCCCGCGCATAATCTACAGTACAGCAGATCCCCTTTCCAAACAAACCTTCTCACGCAACACCTAAAATGTCATATCAATCTCTAAATTTCGTACTGGTAGATCCGCCAAAACCGAGATCCCACGAGAGGACTTGACCTCCCGCGTTCTCGCTCAAATGGTCCTAAGTAAAGGCGATGCCACATCCTTAACTCCCGCCCCAAAATCCATTCCCTTAAGCGTCAGTCCCTCCGAAAGAGCAAGATTGCGATTTCAAGTTGAAGGAAATGCCATGTGTGTAACTACCCTTCCCCCAATTCATCCTATGATAAATAACTAAGAAACCCGCAGTGTAACAGGTGGAGCAGGAACGCTAGGTGCGAATTATCTCCAAAGATTATATTGGATCTATATCTGATAAAGGACAGGATTCGAAGCATCCCGCGCCTTACTCGAGCACGGAGCCAAAGGCCTCATGATCTTCGATGTAAACCCTACCCAATCATCCCTCAAAGCAGCTGAGCTGCAGAAGGAATTCCCCTCCGCGACTCTAGGTTTCAAAATAGTTGATATAACGGATGAAGCGGCTGTCAAAGTAGCTGTTGATGAGACGGCTGAGTATCTCGGTTCTATTGATATCCTCCTCTCCTTTGCAGGTGTGGTAGGCTGTAAGATTCCTTCTCCTTTTCTATTTCGAAGTTCCTATGTTGCTCTTTGGGGATGAGGGGAGCTCTCATATTCTCTCCCATCACTCCCAAAATAAATAAAATTAACAATATCCATAGGCTCCCACGCCCTCACCATGACCCCCCAAGAATTCCGCCGCACCCTCGACATCAACACCACAGGCGCCTTCCTCGTCGCCCACGCCACCGCACCCCACATGATCGCCCAAGGACGAGGCGGGAGCATAACATTCATCGCCTCCATCTCGGGACATCGCGTAAACTACCCACAGCCACAAGTCGCCTACAACGTCTCCAAAGCCGCAATCATCACCTTAAAAAACGGGTTGGCGGCCGAATGGGCCCGCTACGGGATTCGCACCAATACTATCAGTCCCGGGTACGCGGACACGATTTTGAATGAGGGTGAGGGGCTTAGAGAGTGTCGAGAGGTGTGGATGGAGAGGAATCCGATGGGCAGGATGGGGGCGCCGTGTGAGCTTACGGGCGTGGTGGTTTTGTTGTGTAGTAGAGCCGGGAGTTATATTAATGGGAGTGATTTTGTTGTTGATGGAGGGCAGACTTTGTTTTAGCCTTGAGGTGGGATCGTGATTGTGGAATCTTTCGCTTGTTTAGGAAGTTGAGCTAGGGGTTTTTGGAAACATCTTTTATGCTCAGGGGCACAGAACGAAGTGGTAGCAGAAAAGTCCGGGGATATGGCTTCGGTGGTTCGCTTATATCTCCTCTTTGGGGATGATACAATGCACAAATAAAAACATCCTTTTAGTCACCCCCAACACCCATAAAATGCTCTTATAATACTCCACTTGCTCCCCACAGAATGTCAATAAGATGCAGTAGCTATCCCAAGGAAGTAATCAACAGAAACTCACTCCACAAGGTCCCCATGATGAATAAGCGAGGGAAGGGGACACCATCAAAGGAAATGACTTACGGATGGGAAGACGCACTGACTATTACCCAAAGCTCCTCGCAGCAGGAGGTTATAAACCATACTATAAGAACTCGTGCCTCCTAGACTTTATCAATGAAATCCCCCGCCTCCCAAGAAATTCTTCGAAATTCGATTTGACTAGGTGCATACTTTTATCGCTACAGTGAGGTAGACTAGTATTATTCAATCAGTTTACCCAAGTGAAAAAGACAGGATAAAGGTAGCGTAGTTGCAACTACGGTAGTAGTGGCTTCTTCAGTTCAATATAACGAGACAGAAATGATATGGTACACCTTTCCCAAAAAAAAAAAACAAGAGCCAACAACCTATTTGCCCAAAAATATGAAATGTTCAGATGATGTAATAAAACAATTCATTCACCATTCGGATCTAGTAAAGGTATCATCTCCCTAAATACATAACCAGCAAGGACCAAGCCACGCCAACTCCCCGAAATGTTTAATAAAGCTTCAAGCTCTAAGCAATATCTGATTCATTGATTGCACCCTGCCAATATTTTCTTGGGTCCCAGAACGCCAGTTTATATCCGTAACCCCCACCCACCACTCAAGACATTTCCATTTCTTCATTATCGTCGTCGGAGCCCACGATTTGCGTTTGATTGCTGCCAATGCTCGCTTTTCTAGAAGATCCACCAAATCCGAATCGGGCACCTCCAAGTCCACCAACATATTCCAGTTCCTCCCCTAGGAGAAAAGTTAATATATAGAAGGAGAAAGGAAATCTTCTAAGCGCTCAGCTAACGTACCTCCAACAACACGTCCCTCCATATCAATTTCCTGAGAAAGTTCAACGAGGGAGTGCCGTGGCAATTTCAAGAATCCTTCAGTTCGAACTACACGTCCCCAATGAAGAAGACAGAACTTTGCTGCACATCTTCGAAGCCACTCTTCGTTCGCAATTCCCGCACAACGCCAAATAATACAAGCATGATCGACATCAAGTTCTTTCGATAAGCGATTAACACAAAGTAGTCGAAGATGTGGAATATTGTACATGTCAGACAATACGAGTAAGCCGGCCACATCATTTAAATCACCGCAGTCTTTGGGGTGTATACTGTCAGTGTAGAGATAAAACAAGAATGCTTTGACAACCGAGTATGGGCTTGGAATATGCATTCGCTTGGTGTGAAATTCCGCCATCTGTGCATTGTAAAGTCGGGCAAAGTGTGGCCAACGAGCCTGTAGAATGAGTTTGTGGACATAAATAGGGGGCGAGGTAGTTGTATCGGGTGACAACCACGTGTCTTGCTCATCAGCAGCACGAGAGTTAGTGCCAATTATATCATCTTCGTCCCAATCGCCGTCTTTTAGTGCAGTGATGGTGAAGTCAGTCCCACTTCCAGACTCTGGAGGTTGATTGAAAAGTCTAGCTAGATCTTGCCCTAAGCCTTTCGAGGCCTGAACAACCACTCGATCAGCTGAAGGCATGCGTGATGTCTCGCTTCTTGATTCAGGGGTAAAGTTGTTTCCCAGTAGTCCGTACCGCCGAAGATCAATTTCCATTATATCACTGTTGACCTGTAAGTACAAAACTTGATAAGGAGCCTGGCTAAGACATACCTTAGATATTCCTCGAATCCACCTGGACCTAGGTCTGTTGCAGTTGGGTCAGTGGGACATCCAAGGAGCCAGGCCTTGGTGCCCTCTTCGTTCATGGTGCAATAGTGCCAGCGGAAACCTGGTTTGAATATATCACGCCCTTCGGCAAGCTTTTGCCAACGAAGGGTATCGAGATCCAGTGTTGACAAAGAACAGTCTTGCGAGTTGATTGTAGCAGCAGGAGTGACAAAGTCAAGTAGAGTACCTGCTGTGTAAGCGTGGAAATGCATGCCCGATCCTTGAGCTGGAACATTGACTCCTGAAAGAAATTTCAAGGAAGATATCGAGCCGGGGGCCATGGGTGGGGAACTAGTTAGTTGAAATGAAGGTGGATTGACTTGAGCGCTGCTTGAATTTGCTGCATAACCTGTACTTCCAACAGCAGAAGTCGCAGGCAAGGAGAACGAAGGTCGCGAAGAACCACTCATTCGACTGAGTGCCGACTGCCTATCGAGAGAACCCAGAGAAGGGGGCGAGTCAAACGCTGGACTGCCTTTCAAATCCAACCACCACATCTCACCATTCTTATCCATGTCCTCACTCAAACCACCAAATACCCAGACCCTATCTCCCCATACATAAGCTGAATGATCAAATCTGCCTACAAAACGCCACGCCCGGGACCAGGTAAAGGTTTTCAAATCGAGGTAGCAGATATCATCAAGGACATAATTGTTGTGACCAGTAATTCCACCTACTATGAAAAGTTTATCGTCATGAAGGACAGCCGCATGTCTTGCACGCCCCTTTGGAATGGGACCAGAAACGGCTGGTTGGGTCCAGTGGGCAGTCTTGAGGTCGAAGATTATCAGATCTGCAAGGTAGGTTCGATGTTCGTTCTCGCCGCCAAAGATTAAAAGCTTGTCCCCTTGGTATAATGTAGCAGTATGACCTGAAAATGATATTGTTAATGAAGCACGAGAAGTGCAAAAATTTGAGAAGACATACCCATTCGCACACCTGGAATATCGCCATAGTTATCAACCAGACTCCACTGGTGGCTTACCATATCGAGGCACAGAACATGATTGTAGACCTCGTCGGTATACTGATCAAATCCACCAAATGCATATATTTGGTTATTTCCGCAGTATGTGACCGATGCATTGACCAAGCACGCTGGTCTTTGTCCCAGCGTCCTGGTTACCTTGGGCTGGTATGTTCTATGGCCATCTCCATTGCTTCTGCCTTTGACTGGTGAGTTTGGCATAAGGAAGGTATTATTGGAAGAAGCCGCAGAACCAGGCGTGAGAACAGAAGTGGTAGCAAGTTGGTTATAGTTTGCGTTGGCCGTTGCAGTAGAAGTGGAGGAGGCAGAGGCAGCACCAAAAATTGAATGGCTTGCGCCTGGGGTCGAAGGCTGTTGGACCATAACTGCCGATCTGCGAGGTTATGCACTCATACTAGTGCTGAGCGCGGAGGAGATCCAAATCAAACACAGCGTGCACTCAAAGGCCTGGCGTGAACAAATGCCAGCAAAGTGCTTTGAAGTTGGGTGTGACGATGTGCTGGTGGAGGTGGAGGTAGAGGTAGAGGTGGGAGGCCGATAGAGAGTTTGGGCAAGGATTGAGGGCATTCAAAGATCAGCCGCTTCGCTGACTGGCTAACTCTAATGAGATGATGGTCTGCGCGCTGCGCCAAAAATGGATCCGCCAAATGCAATCAGAGCAATGACGGCCTTGGCACAGTGGGGTCAAATCCACCGACACGACGTGAAAGTTGTGAACGCCTGAGGCATCGTCGTTACCTAGCCAACTGCAAGATGCACGGGCAAGTCAACATTGAGAATAAAGTCTCGCCTTCTTCCCTCCTAGAACTGATTCCTTTCTCTCCATGGTCAATTCCACTCTACACTCTACACTCCGCATCCTCAACACATCTTCAACTTCGTCTCTTCTACTGCTTAATAGCACAAATACCATCATTCCTCCTTCATACCAAAATACTTCAAGTCCACTAGATCTTTCCGCTGTACCAGCTACCGCCATCGATCGTCATCCGACTTCCAGTGTTCTGCAAGAAGGCACTTCGATATATCGAGCACAAATACGAATCTACTAACCAAACACAACTACCAGGAACCATTAGGTTGAGTCTCTTGGAGCTCATTCGATATACCGAATCTCTTATCATCGATCGATACATTAGCTTGTCTTTCGACCGAGATCCTATCTGATACTTCATCATGGCAACTCAAGTATCAACCCCGGTCAAGTCCCACACGGGGCTTTTCTCCACGCGTACCGCTGGCGGACGTATGCCTTTGACTCCCTCTCCTCGTACCCGCACTGCGGCAATGGTCAACAACAACAACAACAACAACAACTCTTCTCCATTCACCCCTGAGAGAAAGACGTTGGACAACGAGAGAGTGGCTACCAAGTCAGTATACGGTGGAAACCTGTCATCACACTTCCAAAAGTCGACCTCAAGAACATCCCACCGCGACTCGCCAAAGTCGAACATCGCTAAGGGTGTCCAGACTCCTCGCCGAGCACTTGAACTTGGTGTATCCGACTTTGCACTTACTGGCACTGGAGGCAAGACACCCAGCAGTAAGTCATCAAGAAAAGGACCTATTCGTCAAAAGTCCACCAAGACAACTGTGTCCTATGGAGATCGATTCATTCCAAACAGAGCAGCTAGCTCAGCCATTGCTACCGTCGGCTGTGGCAAGCTTGAACTCGGAGACAAGTCGAGACCCAACTCAAGCACGGGAGAGAGCTCCGCTGTCCTGTCATCCGCTGCCGATGATGCTCTTGCTGCTCTTGGTTCACTATCTCTCAACGACGACGACGAGCCATCCACTTATTCTCGCCCATCCCCAAACACTGTTGCCTACCAAGACTCATTAGCATCTGCTTGTGGCGTCTCTCTCAACCAACGTATTCTTGCATTCAAGCCAGCTCCTCCAGAGTCATCTAAGCCAGTTGACCTTCGTTCTCAATACAACAGACCAATCAAGAATGCCAACGCAGCATCTGCCCAGTTCAGACGTCGCGTTGCAACTGCCCCAGAACGTGTCCTTGATGCTCCAGGTCTTGTTGACGACTACTATCTCAACCTCCTCGATTGGTCTTCTGGCAACCAGGTCGCCATTGGCCTTGAACGAAATGTCTATGTCTGGTCCGCCGAATCAGGAACCGTCAGCTCTCTTCTCGAGACCAGCCCAGATACGTATGTCAGCAGTGTCAAATGGTCCGGCGACGGAGCATATGTAAGTGTCGGTCTCGGTACAGGTGAAGTGCAAATCTGGGATGTTGAGGAGGGTACCAAGCTCCGAAGTATGACAGGTCATGATACCAGAGTTGGTGTTATGGGCTGGAATAAGCACACTCTCTCCACCGGTGCCCGATCAGGTCTCGTCTTCAACCACGATGTAAGAATCGCCCAACACAAGACCGCTGAGCTTGTCTCCCACACATCCGAAGTTTGTGGACTTGAGTGGCGCGCCGATGGTGCTCAGTTGGCAACCGGCGGTAACGACAACCTTGTTTCTATCTGGGATGCTCGCTCATTGGCAGTTCCAAAGTTCACCAAGACCAACCACAAGGCAGCTGTTAAGGCTTTAAGCTGGTGCCCATGGCAACCAAACGTGCTCGCTACTGGAGGTGGATCCTATGATCGCCACATCCACTTCTGGAACACCACTACTGGCGCTCGTGTCAACAGCATCGATACCGGTTCTCAAGTCACCTCCCTCCGATGGAGCCCTCATTACCGTGAGATCGTTAGCACCAGTGGATTCCCAGACAACTCCATCAGCATCTGGAGCTACCCAACCTTGGTTCGAAATGTTGAGATTCCAGCACACGAGACCCGAGTCCTCCACAGCTGCCTCAGTCCCGACGGACAAATGCTAGCTACTGCTGGTAAGTTTTATTGTGAACTTCATATTGGGATTTTACTAACAAATTTTCCTAGCTGCCGACGAGAGCTTGAAGTTCTGGAAGGTCTTCGAGAAGAAAGCCGGCTCTGCATCCTCCGCAGCTGCATCAGGTTCTTCAGCAAAGGCTGATATGGTTAAGCAAATGACCATCCGTTAAGCAATGGATGTCATCAAAACACTCTGAGGCGTCCGGGCTTCCAAGAGTGAATGGTAAAGTATCAAGGACGATTCCCTACTTGCTTTAGCGGTTTGGATTGGTAGCGAGGAGTTGGGGAGTTTGATGTTGGTCTCCCTCAATGCCCACGGCCGAAAGTGCTTCACCTGGTGCGAGCGATGCTTAACATTAACGAACGATAACTGGAAAGACTTGTTTTTTGTGCGGGATATTACTTCCAAATGGCCAGGATAATAGGCTTATAATTTATGCCTTGACTTGGGCTATAGCTGTTAAAGGACTGTTTTGATAACTTCAATCAAGGTGTTTTTGGGAGTAATCTTTGGACTTTGTGATTGGCTTAATTGTGAATGGTTCCTCGTTTCATATTGATTCTCATCCTTGACCCCTCCACTGCATGTCTTATCAACCGTTGCCCAGCATGATAGCCGCTCTGTGCCGTTGAGTTGCATACACTTTACTGGTGTTCGATATGCCCGTAAGGATTGAGATGAACTACCTAAGTGCCCTAGGAAGGAATGATAACGAAATACTTTGCTGCCTCTTTTGTTTTCCACCGCTAGAAGCGGTAGCTTGTATTAATATGGACGATACTTGGAACAACGAGAGAGCTATTTATTATATCCCTTTCTAATCTTATTGGGGTGCCAGTCCAGTCCAGTCTCGTTGACGATGGGCGCTTAACATACCCCGTAATTCCCCAATCCCTACCCCGCATACCGAGTTCCTTCGCCAAGTCCCGACGTTCAGGGTTAAATCGAACCATTGATCGCCCTTTCTATCAAGTTTTGGGGTGATGACGTTATATGCTCGGCTATGGTCCGTCACGTTGGTAAGCAAGAGACGCGGTGCAGTTGCAGTATAGCAGAGCGAATAATTTCTCTAGGGACTCGAAATAATTGAAGATTTCTCTCAGATCAGATGGATGAACCATCTCAACTGTTGCCGAACTTTGGAATGGTTGATTGAGTATGCTACGAATACATACTACCGAATACCCAACAGTACAATTACTGGGCCGCTCATCGCATCTCCAAATCCCTGTCTTCGTTTGACAACTGGAATGGTCGCCAACGGGGATACTATTCATATGCTGTGCAGTGCATATGCAAATATCGATATTGTGATTTCTGCAACTGCATGTCGAATCACATTTTGATGTCCTTTTCCCGCAACCATCTCGAATTCTGACGGTGAAGGACGTCCGCATTCCTCTGCCTCTTCCCAGGTAAGTCGATGTCTGTCATATCGTCCCCTGGGAATAATGACGGTTGGAGAATCGATCATAAATGCCTTGAAGTCAGTCACAATCCCGGACCTATTTCTCGTGGACCTGTCACTCTTAGGATTCAAGATACCGGGTTAGCCTTCCCAACCTGATTTCAGTGGGACATTCTAGAATCTTTCCCGTGGATTCCGGGACTATTCGACCATGGTCTCCAGCTCTTATCAGTTCAAAGCTCAAATTCCGCTCTTGGGAACTTTCAATTACACTTTGAAGTCCGGGTCAATATTGCCGATACCAGAAAGAGCTTCAATGCTACGTCCGTCCTCTCGTCTCCGGATTCGCATTGAGTGTAAAGAATCAGAATTGGTGACACCCCCGTCACTCTTGCAGCAATCTCCAGTGACGAAAATGCCCGGGGTTTCCGCATGATATACAAAAGGTGGTGTGCTGAAGAATATCCTTGAAACGACTTTTGGACATCAGGGACGGTGTGTGTGACCGAGTAGCCAAAGAAGTAATTTTGGTGAGAAGCGAGCAGCCCGTTATTCTTTGGTCGCGGCTGGGTTGGCAGTTTGTCTTATCTGGGCGGCAGATAGACTCTTTAGGCCTTTGGCTCCGGTATTATTTCTGGCTGGCTACAGCAATTACTCATTTATCTTTTCTCAAGTTTTCTGGTTTCTTTTCAGCGTTGACGTTAAAGTTGGGGGTGACATGACAGGGATGTGAGGCTTGGGAAGTAGTCCCCTTGAAGGTCTCTGTGCAATTATGTCATTTATGCTATAATAATGCATACCCAATATAATATTCCAGCATCTCAGTACAATCATTCCGCATTCAGGACTCCAGTCCAATTAATAAGTTCGTTGCAGTTTCGGGGTACGATATACAGATGCTCAACAGCACAACACAAGCGCGGCAAAGTTGATACTTGACTCCAACTTTCTACAAGAACTTCGACGATTGTGCTAGGAGCTTGGGAAATTATGCACTGGCCTAGGGCTTTCGAACGAAAAACCTCGATTCAAAAGAACAATCAGAATCATGTACTGCCGTTTTTATCTCTCATCCCGAGAGGGGGCCGGCAGACAAACGATTAGCCGAGACATTGTGGTCATGAGGAAATCCCTTCAAGATAATGAGGATTTAGAACCATTCAAACCGGGACCACTCGTACAATTCATTACCAAGCTCACCGTGCCTCTACTGGAGTTGACAAACTTCGATTCCGGGTGGGTAAGGGCCGTTAGTCAGCCGGTGTTGATTCGCTGTTGAGTTCCAAGTTCTGCAGTTGATACCCACCCGCAGTCCCATTTCATGTACGCGTATGCGCCAAAGTGGCCAACCAAAAACATACCCAGGACCCCAGGAGCACCCGCATATAAACCCAAGTGCCACCACCGAATAGAAGAGCGTTAAGCCCTCTTTTTAAATATCACATGATTGCATTTCTACGCGGGAGCTGCATTTTGGGCAGCACCGCTGGAGTAGAAGAGCAGGGTTTCATGGGTCCACAGCGAATTGTCCTGAAATCGCCATAGGCCTCGAGACAGCCCTCCGTCCCGACCAACGCATCCTTTGTGAGAATGCATGCATGAGTCCCGCAGGATACCATCATCACGCTTATAAGGAGGGCATATAGTGAAGTGTGTCTGCTGGCATCCATCGCTTGGTCTCGCCCTGGGCTGCTCCTCTCCGCTCTTCTCCCTCATGGAGGTCACCAAACGCGCCAAATCGAATCGTCTCGTTTTACGGCGTGTTGCAAAAGCCAGAGCTCTTCCACTGGTAAGTGTTGATTTTGTTCTTCCTACATCTACAGACGTTTCGTCCAGTCTCAGTCGTTTGAGGACAAACGCACCTCGTTTACGTTCTCAAGCACTCTTCTCGTCAAAAGGTGCCCTAGAGAAAATTGCAATCACATCGCAATCCAAACATAGCTAACTGGACCTAGATTTTGAGAGCTCGGCATTTGCAACTCGAGATGGCGCATGCAGCAGCCATCCATAAACTCTCATTCAATACTCTTGATCAAATACTCATATATCTGTGCGAAGATGGAAATCTGATGCTAGATCGGGATAAACCCATAACTATTCAAGATATCGCCGCTTTTCTTCCTGCCTCTTGCTTCTCAAATGTATTGAACTTTCGACAGGTGAACCGCAACTGGAACAATGTTTATCGACTGAGATTCGAGCCGCGCCCTAAATTATTGCAGTTACCAGCCGAGCTTCTGAATAAGATCGTGGAGCATCTTGCCCCTCGGAAAGCATGGCCGAAAAAGCAGAAGCTGATCGAGAATAGAAGCACCCTCAGTTTAGAGAGCTTCTCAGAACATAGACCCTCACCAGAGAACGATGTCAATCCACTTAAGCAATTTGTAGGTCTCTTTACTTCTTCCCCTTTCCAATGTCGCCCTAGAAAGGAAGCGATATTTTCTCACATGCAACTGCCACCAGTCGGAATGAATTCTTCTGGTTGGTGGTCAGGTTGCTTTCTTCCACTCCTCTACAAGCTTGAGTGTACATCACTCTCAGACTGTGCCCAGCGGGGTTTTTGAGAGACATTGCCACTGCTCTAGACAGACTTTTAGGAGGTAGTATGCTAAGCTCCTGGCACAAACAAATTGTTGTCCTAGCTTACTTAGGTGAATAATAAGTGGAAGATGTTGATTATTTCAAAGCGTTCGTACAAGCATTTTGTACAAGGCTTTTAGAATAATAGTATCTTAACTTATGCAGTGCCTAGAGCAATGACCGCCTCTCATACATTCCTTTATAGTCCGAAGTTTTGTTGTTTACTGATATCCAGACTAGAGACTTGTTTGTCGACAATTTTCGTATATGGACCTTTGTCTTGAGCATTTATTTTCACGAGTAACTACTCGTTTTTCTCCTACCGGATTTGAAACGCTTCACGAGATTTTGTTGGGACGAAGTATTCGTACCAAAGTTAAAAAGTTTACTTATATGGTCCCTCGATTTTATGTTGGAGGCAAGGAACGCACCATCATTGATGAATTAAACTCTAACTCTAGTGTACAGACATAAACCAACTTGAAAATATGTTAAAGGAGCAGCGAACCAGTCCAGAATTTTCTCAGCCGTCAAATTCTCATCAAACGGCATCGGCGCATCAAAGAACACCAGGTAGCTATATGAATGAATTACGCCAGAAGACGGACAAGATGATAAGTGAAAACATCGAGAAGGCCAAGAACCAGACGCGCATTATAGAACAAGGAATCGACTCTAGAGCATTGTTGCTTGCCTTTTTGCTATTTAAAGATCTTCAACAAGTGAAGTTACTGCGGGTGGTAGATCGGAGTGATGAATGGTGGTCGAGATATCTTGTTCGGCTGAGAAACCTTGCTCAGACCCCCTTAGATGAGGCACACTTGAGCTGGATCGAAGCTTACGACCATGCTACAAAGTCTCTTGCAAATGCTTTCCTAAAGTCAGGAAACACAGAGGCATGGAATTTCTCCTGCCAATTTGTGGACTTTCGGACGCCCGTGATTGCGCCATCGGATTCCATTCTCCCAGGGGCAATCACTAGGTTGAAGTTTCTGACTTTGCAATTAATTGACGAAGAAGGAATTGACATGACCGGGAAGGTGCTACGTTTATCGCAGCTCTGCAGTGAAATTATGAGGCAAACCAGACATTTGAGCGGCCTTCATATTGGGTTTTCAAGGGTTATCTCTGCACCACTGGAGTCCGTTTTTCACAACACGAGATGGAATCATTTAAGGTATTTCGGCATACACATGTGGTCGTTGGATGGCGAGGAGATCATCAGGCTGCTTCGTCGCCACCCGGCACTGACTTCAGTACGCCTACGGCAAGTCTCGCTCAAGGAAGGAAGTCGATGGGAGGATGTTTTGAGAGTCATCAAGCAAGAGCTCAACTTGAAATGGCTGAGTCTTTTTGAAATTGGCTATGGGTCTGCTGGTGTTGGGCCAATTCATATGATTCAAGAAGAAGACTCGGATGCTGAACATGACGACAATAGTGGAAGTGAAAGTGAAAGTGACTCAGATGGCTCGGGCACCGGACCAGATGAGAGCGGCAGTGTCGATGATGAACCTGCTCATGGAGAATTGTTCCAATGGGTGGGGTCTCAAAATGGAGACTATGAGAGCGAAGCGGGCGACGAAAGCGGGGAAAGTGATTCAAGGTGGGTTTTTTCCGAATTGATTCGTTTCCTTATGACTTGTCCCAAGATGGTTGGACCACTGGCTCATGCTAAGTCACGTCTCATTTCTACATCCTCAAGGTCCCCCTTGAGACTGTCGCTCTATGGTTATCCAAGTGGCAGTAGTTCACTTTCATTGCTTTACCCTTTTAGATTGCTTTAGGTAGTTGACCTGCATTCTTTTTGGAATTTATGTCCCTCATCTGTTCGGAATATTCGAATGCTTTTAGTTGTTCTAATGTATTTGGACAACTATGAATCGTGGAGCCTTGCTGCAAATATGGAACAGTACTTTCGGTTTGAAATTTCTTCCAATGTTCATAGAGTGCTTGTATCGAGACTCAGAATAACTTCTAAAAATGACAATTCTGACATCAAATTCTCCCAGTGCCGAAGCGAGCGACCAGGAAAGATGGAATGACAACGACAGCGACCACGAAGGAGCGATTGGTCAATCAGCTTCCATCGACCCCCATACAGAAAACCATACATCGAATCCTCCGCCTCCAGACCAAGACACCGCTGAACATACGCTACCTGAATGCAAATGCCACGACCCAATATCGATTGCAGACAATGGAGTGACGGTAGATCAGAGACAATGGTCATCATGGGAGCTTTGGGCTACAGATTCTTGTCAAATGCATCGTCTATAGTCTTTTTGCTATTTTCACGTTTGGGTGGCTTTTTGATAATCTCAACTCTGGATGTTGCATTCATACACTAGTACTCTCCCCTTCTCGCTTATTTCGTGTAAAATAATATGGGATATTGAGAATGGTGCTCGATAACCAGCTCTTTACTCGAATATCTTTGGTTGATTAATATGATTAACCTCAATACTTTCCTAACTGGGGATTAATGAGTTCAATCAAAATAGAGATACCTACAATGATAAATTGGATTACTTCAGAGATTTGAAACACAGAAAGCACATTGATTGCCACTTTTTAATGTTGTCTGAGAAGAGCTGCAAGAGCGTATCATTGGTCGTAGTAAAATTTAAAAATGGTGAGTCACAGGGTTGATTCCCGCTTGGTAGGACAAGACTGCAATTTTGTGGGTAGGGACGTTGTCTGAAGAAGGAGAGTTTCAATGTTGTATCCTGTTAATTGCGATGAACGTGGTTCTATCTAACATGAAAGTACCCGATTTAAGTCTGCTGTCAGAAAACAAAACATAAGTGGTGCCCTTTGTCATAGAGTGATTTTCTTTAGACAATACATTTCTTGGACTTGTCTGTGTGAATAGAAGTTCTGTATATCTTAATATTAAGCAATTGTAGAACTCTGAACCAACTATTGATGATAGATTGTCAGGGACAAACCAGGAGACTGTCAGAATGAGCTGTAAATGTGGAATAAGGAGACAAAGAGCTAGCTAAGGGCAAACAGGGAGTCTTATAAGACGACCCTGACGGAGTGGAAGGCTCTAGAGTACTAGGCATCCACCTAGGCAACTGAGACAAGTCAGGTAGTGAAGATAGGAGTCTCAGCTAAGACTGACATATCGTAACATCAATACTTGGAGATGAGGACTTAGGTAGCAACTGTATGAAACCTGAAGTGAATTGCCCCTCTGTTGCGACATATGCATTTGTTTGATCAATCTATCTAATAAGATCTTTTTGTTTGATACTTAAGAAGTCATGTATTCAATGATATGTATCCATATTAAACAGACTAACAGTTGTCCGAAGAATATTTTGGATAGAATATTGTCTGTGTACTTGAGTATAATCAGACAAATAAGTGCATTCAATATATACCAGCAAAGAAAGAGTACTTACGTTACAGAATTTTAGATTCACGTAATAAGTAAACTCTCTTTAGCTTTACAGCGATATATCTTTCCATTCTCCTGCCTTAATTGTTATATCATTGTACTCTCATATAAGATCGTACTCAGAAAAATGATATTTTTCCCAGTTGTCTCGCTAAAGCAAATCTTCGTTTACAACATTCACCTAAAGATCGTAATTTACCAAGGCTAGCTTAGAGGTCACAACCCTTTTCTCTATGCTTGAATACTATAACTCCACAGCTTTTCTAGATCTACAAAATTCTCTGTACGCTTCTAGGCTTGTACAAAACTACCAAATTCAAATAAGTTTTTCCAATTAGTCTTCTCATACTGCTAGAAAATCAGAATTGAGGAATACTGTAATAACATAGAAACGATTGAAGACACGTGAGATTCATACCAAGAGTTTTCTGGAGCCATACAGTGAATAAATAGCATTGTTTGTTGTGAGCCTGGGGTGCCAGTACAGTAACAACATTGGCACATGCATCAAGGCAGCCCAGCACTCTCTGTACCAGGCAACGTTAACCGCGCTGCTGCTGTTGCCGCAACTGGAAAGCATGCCCTTACCCTTTCACCATCAACACCTCACCTCTTCCACCTCACAGCATAATGCTCAACAGTCGCATTTGCCATTGGGTACCGCTTCTGGTGTTCTACAAGCAACTCAGTCTCTAGGCTCTGTCGCAGCACCTCAATCCCTCTCTCAAAGCGCAGCTCCCGACCGCCTCTACGCTTCCAGTGGGAATCCTTCGCATTCGACCTCTGGAGGATATAAACACACCTCGCTCTCGACCTCCTACGGCCACGCTTCCAACGGCTCGTCCTCATATACCGCCCCAAGAAGCGCAAACGCGGCCGTAACCCCGCTATCTAGTGGCCCTCCGCGGACTCGACACGCAGACTCACAGCAGACGAGTGCAGGCGCCGGCGCAGGCAGCATGGCTTCTCAGAGAGGCGCCTTATCTCCACGAGATTACACTCCAGCGGGGCCCCGAATTGGAATCGAGCAATCGACTTCAGAGGCAGGCCAGTATCACAGTGGGATTGGGCAATTGCCGGGATCCCTACAGCCCGGTCGACCAGCGCCAATATCTGCAAACACAGCTCCCTCCGGCCCTACTGCAAATTCCAACATGTCACAAGAGCAATACCCAACTCCCTCACGGTCGAGTGGACTGGGCCTCTCTCACAATTACACGCGATCGAGTCCAGCAGGCTTCGATGGGCAAGGCTATGCGCCATACGGCTCTACAACGCCTGGGGTCAACGACTACACGTCCCCAACATCCAAATATACCCCTCAAAATGCGCAACGCACCGTCTCCAATACCCCTCTAGGCCTCGCAGATATTCGTCCCCGCGCAGACTCTGGCCAGTCAGACGGCCCAACTGGAGCAAATCCTTATTCATATGACGGCGCAAATGCGGTGCCCACGAACAGCAATTATCTAGCACCATGGGCCATCTATGCGTTTGACTGGTGCAAATGGCCCGCTCAAGGTCGGGATGGAGGAAAGGTAGCTGTTGGAAGTTATCTGGAAGACGGCCATAATTTTGTAAGCGACCCCGTCTTCCTCTGGTTGTGCTGAGCTTATAAATTCTTGTCATAGATTCAAATTCTCGACTCCCAGATTACACCCCAACAATCCGAATCGTATACGCCGGGTGCTCAAAAACTGGGCTTGGACTTCGTGAAGATTGCCGAAGCGACCCATTCATATCCAGTCACTCGTTTACTATGGGAACCGCCTTCTTCGCAGAAACAATCCACCGATCTTCTTGCTACATCCGGAGACCACTTAAGACTGTGGTCGCTACCTTCAGAAACGCCGCTTGCCTCCCCAGGGAATTCGATAACTCGTTCAGCGAACCACGGACGCGATCAACCAACTAGCAAGCTCACTCCTTTGGCCCTTCTCTCCAACTCGAAAACACCTGAACATACCGCCCCACTGACTTCTCTCGATTGGAATACCGTTTTGCCAAGCTTGATAATCACCTCTAGCATTGACACAACCTGCACAATCTGGGATATACCCACGTTGACTGCAAAAACGCAGTTGATTGCGCACGATAAGGAAGTTTTTGATGTGCGGTTCTGTGCCAACAGTGTGGACGTTTTCGTCAGCTGTGGTGCGGATGGTAGTGTTAGAATGTTTGATCTGCGAAGCCTGGAACATAGCACAATTATTTACGAACCTACTGCCAAGGATGATAAAGGTATTGCCCCGCACCCAGTTCTTGAATGACGTTTAATACTTACAAATTTGTAGATGCAAGTCCTGGAGGTGGAAGGATAAGTCCTACCTTAGCACAACAGACAATGTCTTATGCCCCACCACTTTTGAGACTGGCTGCTTCACCACATGATACCCACCTTCTTGCTACTTTCTCACAAGATTCCAACATTATTCGTATACTTGACGTACGACAACCCGGTCAGGCATTACTGGAGCTCAGAGGACACTCTTCATCGGTAAATTGCATTGAGTGGTCACCATCTCGCAGAGGAACTCTGGCTTCTGGAGCAGATGATTCGCTAGTTCTCATTTGGGATTTGCTGAGTCAAAGTACTTCTCATGCATCTCCTGCACCAGCTTTGAACGGAGCGCCAGCGCCAGATAATAGTCGAGGGCCTGCTTCAGCATGGCAATGCGATTACGAAGTTGGCAATATCAGCTGGGCACCACACAGTGGCCTCAAAGGCGACGGGTCGGAATGGCTAGGTGTCAGTGGCGGCCGAGGAGTTTGGGGGGTAAAGATGTGAAGGAATCAATCTCATGTTTTTGATGATTTGATGACGATCTTCTGGCACTACAAGCGAGCGAGCAAAAGAGAAAAGAAGATCTATAAATGGGAAAAATGGAGCGTTCACGTTAAACACACTCATATATTCATTCGTAGTCTAGCTGGGCGTTTTCCGGGGAATCGCTTGAAGTTCTTCATCTTCATATTTGCTATCACCCCGATGGATGGTAATAGAAGCTGCTACGTGAATCTCGTAACGCTGAAGATCTGTTGGGAATGGGACCTCTGTGCAAAAACATCCTACATTTAATTAATTTCTTGGGCGGGGAAAGGGAGGCAATGAGGAAAGGAAAGGAAGGCGGGTAGGGGTGGACGGACTGGGATTGAGGATTGAGGATTACGTGCAGCTGGATGAGATATGAACGAATGCAAATCAACTAGAAGGGAAACCTTTTACCTAGCCACCCAGCTACTCTTTGTCTGCTCTTTACTGCTCCGTGTTGTATTATACATGGGGATTAGCGTGGCAGGATTGAGATAGAAGAGGATAAATATTTACTACATTCCTCTTTCGGTGACGAGAGTAGAAGAGGGTGGCACTTGGTACAGCTTGTTGATTCTTAAGTAGGAATGACCTACAACCCCAGGGTCGAACGACTTATAATCTAGCTCTACTTTCATTCGCTAATGGCTCCGCGTTACCTTCTTCCTCTTCCAAAAGCTTGACAACAGCCTTTCCCCAAACCTTTCGCTCCTTCAAATCGTTCAACGCATCCTTTACGGTTTCCAAGCCGTTGTACTCCTTGTCGAAAATCGTTGGTTTGAGTATCCCACTCTCGATCAAATCCATCACACCTTTCCAGGCCGATACATTTTCAGCCGGGTCCTTTCTTCCTGTTTCTCCGAATAGCTGTTGCGGGTTAGTAATTTGCAGTCCCACTATGCTGAGAAAGACAAGCGACAATAGAGGGGGAAATAAACCTACATAACCCATCACTTCTACCTCCTTCAACAAGATCCTATTCATAGGAACCTTCTCTATATCTTCTCTGCCCGCAAATCCAACTATCAAAATCTTCCCCCTCCTCTTCGTACACCTGATACTCTCCTGAACTCTCCCCACCGCATCAAAAACAACATCTACACCCTCACCCCCCGTGAACTCTAGAACCCTCTTCCACCACTCCCCCTCATACCCCACCACAAAATCNGATACTCTCCTGAACTCTCCCCACCGCATCAAAAACAACATCTACACCCTCACCCCCCGTGAACTCTAGAACCCTCTTCCACCACTCCCCCTCATACCCCACCACAAAATCCGCGCCCCACCCCCCCACTACCTTTTTCTTCTCCTCCGACCCAACAACAGCAACAACTCTCGCCCCAACCGCCTTCCCAATCTGTACTGCCATCGCCCCCAAGCCCCCCGAAGCACCAAGTACCAACACGGTTTGCCCGCGCTTCAAGCCCGCGCGCAGGATGAGCGGTGCGTAGCTTACTGGTGCGGTGGCGGGGAGTGTTGCTGCGGCGAGGAAGCTCCATGATGGTGGGATGGGCTGGAGAGCGGAGGGCGAGACGCAGATGTATTGTGCGTAGCTTCCGAGGGAGGATCCGAATACTCGGGTGCCTTTTTGGAAGGGGGATGAGGGTGAGGAGGTGATGATGAGACCTGAGAATTCGAGGCCGAGGATGAAGGGTGGGGTGTGCAGGGTGCGGTTGTTTTGGTGTTCGCCTTTGGCCTGGTGGGTGTTAGGGGGTTTGTTTGGGGGGTGTGAGGGGGTGTTGGGATTTTGGTATTTTGAAGTGAGAGTATAGACTGAGGGGTTTTGGGGGTTGGTGCTGAAGTCTGATGATTATACAGCTTGTGAAAAGATGCCAGAAATTTGGAAATATGACATGGTGAAGTAAAAGACCTAGTCTTCCTTCCAGCTTCTGAACACAAGAGAGTATGAGTCTGATGTATTAAGCTCGGGTAGCGGCGAGGAACAGATTTTGAGATTCAAGACAGGATACTCTATCAAAAACGAAGATGATGTGACAAGTCTTCCTTCGAACAGTGGTACCATAACATACCTCAACATTCCCTATATTTGCAGTGCTAGACAAACGCAAGAAGAATTCAAAAAGGGACTACTCAGACCCAGTGCAAAATGCGAGGTTTCCTCGTGGTAGATGAGAAAGGTAGTACTGCACACTTTTCCTCACTCCGAAAGCTTATAAAACCAGAACAACCCTTCGAATGTCATAGTAAATGTAAAGCAATAACTCCGAAGACTTGAACTACTCACTTGAAGCAATCCATGCCAGGAAGGTAAAACAACAGAGTCACCCAAAACATAAACAAAAATTCAAAATAAACACCAGACCCGAAATATCAACTCCAGATTTCTTGATCAACTTACATATAACAAATCCACAAAATTCACCCCCGCAGCGAAGATCTTCACAAGTACCTCCCCCTCTTTCGGTTGAGGTATCGGGACCTCGGAGACTTGAAGCTCATCGTATTCCTGGATACCATTAATACAGACTCGTGAAAGGAATTTCAATTTGAAGCTTACGTTAACGAACTTGTCTATGCAGATTGCCTTCATGACTTTGGATTGTAGAGGTTCTTAACAGATACGTAGATGGTCTCGAGATGGTGTGTACTAAGGATATAAAAGAGGGGTGACTCGGGGTGAGTTTCTCGGAATCCTCGCTTCCGAATGCCGAGGTTCCTTATATCGGAGTTTAATTCGGACTTTGAGGACGATGGCTCCTGGTGCACAAGAAACGTGGCAGAGAATCCTTTTCTGTTCACGTAACTTCATTTGGACTATGTTTAATTGTTCTATCGTTTTAAATGGACGTAACGGAGCGATTATCTTAAAACTCAATGGCAACTAGATTACTTGTCCTTGGACTTTTAGAATATTCGAATATTCTTAATCGACTTTTACGCTAATCAAAAGATAATCTCTGCACTTTTCTTATCCACCAGGTAAGTCGATGGAAGAAACGAATGCCCTTTTTCAAAAAAAACATCGAAACGGTATTGATACTGCTCAAACGAGTTAGTAAAGCAACACAATCTGCGATGAGGCTCACATACCTAAATCGAGGTAAGCACATTGCACTTTCAAAATCCATCAGAGCAAGCAGGAAAAATTGCATTTCCAACTGATCTACGCATCGAAAATTTCTCTCCCTCCAGAAGTGCAAGTGGGAAAATTTGCACTTATAAACAGTTGAACACGGCAAGCATGCAACCATCAGACTGCAGCAATCCAGAACATAAGCACTCTGTACATGAAACTTGACAGTATTGCATTCCATCACCAGTGCATGGCTGATATAAGTGGCGCCTACTTGCTTCTTGCGTAACCTGGTTCTCGGGCCTGAAAATTGTGTCATCATATTCGACATGTCTGCGTGTGGCGAGAACAATACATGTACCCCGCTTGGAAACTGTTACCCTTGAGATGGCGAACTGCAGTTCTTGAATGGTCGTACTTAGGCAGCGTGTGTAACCGGATGGTAAAGCTACGGGTAGGACGTAGAGAAGGTTTACCGAGGGTAATGATGCTGCGAGACAACTGTTGCTGCTGCATTGCATAGCACTGAACTGGTTATCTGAATAGTGATTTAGCCGAGTGGGCTATATTATTCGACATGTTCGGATCTTGTTTATACTGGCTGGGTGCTTTTGCCTCCCGTTGTCCTTGTCAGATGATACTTGTATATGTCGACGGCTTTCTATGCATCCAAGCCTCGCATACGAGCATTTTTTAATTTGTAGTTCCATTTGCGTTAATGACTAGTCATGATGCCGGGTCCCGGTGCTATTCGCTTGTCAAAAAGCAAATCCGGAGACAAGAAGAAACGGACAAGCTCCGAAGGACTAGCACTGGATATTTTGCAGCTTCTGATGGCAGGAAATATCAATGGTAAAAGTCGACAGGTAACGTACTACATGAAGTGGAACGCAATGTGGCTGTACATGTAAGACTCGAAAGTGCATTCGACTTGCAAGAGCAATATGAAAACTCCAGCCCCCCTCGAACGACGAATAGCGTTGACATCAACCTATATGCACCTCACCGTCTGCAGGCTGAAAATATGTTGATTGTTTACCCGAAGTCACAGGGGCTTGAGATAAACATCCCATCTTGGCTAAGCACTTGCTGGCGCTTCATTTTCAATAGGGTATTCCGCTGAACATGTCGAGAACTGATAAACTAAATCCAGCCACACTAAAATGTTGAGAACGACGCCTGCGCCCCTAGCGACAGTCAATATCTCAGGGTGTCCTACTGTAAATTTCTGGAATAAGTTAACGTTAACGCTATGGTTGCTCTGCTGGCTTACTATCATTGAAACGATCGTTCGAATACTCCAGGAGTGCTGGAAAGGTAGAACAACAGAAGTGATCTTACTGTTCTTGTGAGTGTCTATCGGGAACTCATCTGCATCCAAGCTGAGTTCCAGTCTGCATTTTACATTGAAAAACAATTGCTGTGATGTTCCAGACCCGGCTTTGCATATTGAACACCGCTTGTGCACTGACTTTCAAATTAGAATACTTTCTCGCCTATGACTTTCTGTCGTCCTTGAATTTCATATAAAATCCGTTGGTTCGCTGCTCCCGCTGCCACGGTTGTGGTTCGCTGATTTGGGGAACCTGGGGGGTCGGACTTGGAATCGAAAAGAGGCTAGATGAGCCTTGAGGCAGTTAGGAAGCGGGTGGAACAGCCCATAGAGTAGTTTAGTAAAGGGAAATGAATTGATGGGTGGCGGTTGGCCGTCTGCAAGCAAACACCTGCATCCCGAAGGAAGTGCATGTTGTTATTAGAGTTGCCAGAAGTCGTTTTATCCATGTAACTACGAGGATTGCACTGATCCAGTGGCGCTCTCTGGTTCTTACCCAACATAGAAATTGTTTTGGTTGAGAATTAGGTGCTAATATATGCCAATTAAATTTAGTATTATCGAATTATTTTCTAATTCTTTGTTAATGTTTCTTCTAAAAAGAGGAATTCGATTATTCAAAATAAAATCAAAATATAATAAAAACATTCTATAAAAAGATTTTTAGCTCCTCTGGCTGCAAATAATCGTTTGCTAGGTAGACTTTTCCAGGAGTAGTCTCAGAACTAGATATTTAGAGGGAGAGCATGTAGTTGTGAATCTAGGTACTCGTAGGTAGCTCTATTGTTTTGATGAGCCTTGAAACCTAAGGCTTTAATATGCACGGTCCAGGGACCTCAAGGTCGCAACTGCTATTGGGCTTATCGGGTCATTTGAAGCTGTCCAAGATCAAGCTCCAGACATACCTATCGACACAACCAAGCTCTCACATCACCAGCTCCTAATACTCCTACATACTACAAAACAAACCATCTCGCCCATCATGTCACAATCCCACGCCTTGTCCGACGACCAGGCAAGAGACCCGTCCAAGAAGCCCCGCGTTGCCAGCTAACACAGCTATCCACAGGTCGGACAAGAGCTCAAGAAGATGACGGCCTTCATCAAACAAGAAGCCCACGAGAAAGCCCGCGAAATCCAAATCAAAGCCGATGAAGAATTCGCCATCGAGAAGTCCAAGCTGGTCCGCCAAGAAACCTCCTCCATCGACACAACCTACGAGAAGAAATTCAAAGCCGCCCAGATGTCCCAGCAGATCACCCGTTCCACCGTTGCCAACAAGACCCGTCTCAAGGTCCTCTCTGCCCGTCAGGAGCTCCTGGATGGCATATTCGAGGCGGCTGAGAAGAAGTTGGGTGAGGCTACGAAGGATAAGAAGAAGTACACGGAGATTCTGAAGAACCTGATGTTAGAGGGCTTCTATGCTTTGAATGAGACTAAGGTGCAGATTCGTGCGAGGAAGGCAGACTACGATTTGGTCAAGAAGGCAATTGAGTCCGCGTGCAAGGAGTACAAGGATAATGTGAAGAAGGATATTTCGGCGACTATTGATGAGGCCAATCCCCAATCCGAAGGATGGTGAGTTGTTTCGATCGTATATTCAAGAGAATATAGGCTCGTGGTACCCTGAGCTAATATCTGTTATAGTGCTGGTGGGCTGTCGATTGTGGGTGGTGGTGGAAAGATTGATATCGATAATACTTTTGAAGAGAGGCTTAAGTTGTTACAAGAGAATGCCTTACCTGCGGTGCGAACCACTTTGTTTGGCAAGAACGAGAATCGAAAGTTTTACGATTAGGTCATGCTCGGATGATGTTGGCACTTTTGGAAGCGGGGCATATTACATATTATTGTACTGGAGTTCATTAAAGCCGGTAGACGGTGTAAGATAACGTTGAAGCACTGAGCTTCTTCATCGGGCATTGAACCTCATTAAATCGAGAAGCTATTTATGAACGGTCGGACGTTATTTCGTCCCATTAAAATTATTCCCTTTACCTCTCGCCAAAAATGCGCTCATCCCACTCTTCTCCTTTGTGAGATTCTCGAATTTCACTCGAGGTTTATCGAAGTGTGTAAGCTTCGGTTTCTGCTTTGTCCTCAGAGTATCCGAAAATCGCTGACTGACAAGCTCCAAAGCCTCTTTAGCCTCGATTCTTGATATGAAAGCAGCTCCAGGATTTCCAATACTCCTCATCACCTTTCTTACAGCGCTCACTAATGCATCCACATCTTCATCAAACTGTTCAGCGACACTAGGGTTCCCGAGATCCAATTTAGAGGATCGACCATCATCCACAGCTATGTCCAGTAAAGCCACAAGAGCTGTTAGTTCTTGATAGTCGGTCTCGGAGTTGGCAACAAAATCTGGATCTCCAAGTCGATCAACAAATTCATTGAGGTCGGTTGCTGCGTGAGGATGAACTTTGCAGTAGGAAATGTCCTCGAAAAAGAAGCAGAGAGCCAATCTTCTCCGAAGGTCATGTGTCCGAGGAGATGTAGATGGTATGGTCTGCACAATTTGCAAACGAAGGGTTGCTGATTCAACAGCATCTAACATTGATTTGCAAACGTTTTGACACTTTTAGCCATGTCAGTATAGTATTCTGCACTCAAGTACTGGGAATTCTTACACAATGTTCCCAATCAGCTTCTTTCCCGGTGTATTTGCAAAGTCTTCTGATTGTTGCTTGTAGTAGGTCAAGAAGATCGACGCTTTTGCAAACATTTTTATCTGCACTCACACGCAGTAGCGAACATATGAGATGTTGCCTACTGTCTTGTTTCAAGGATTGTGCCACTTGCTGATAGAAGCGAATGAGAGAACGAAGGGGTGCCCACTCATAATCAACAGACGAAGCGCCAACAGGTACCGCAGTTTGTTTGATCTTCTTCGTAATATCCGTCGCCGTTGGTGTCCCGCCTATGTTCCTTAAACTAGCTTCGACAAGTTTTGGGGTTAATAGCCTCTGGATTTGTTGCGTGGACTCTTCCAGTATGTTGTAGTATGCAGTTCGAAGGGCGTCCTCTTGTTCATGGCATGCCTCGTCAAGTATCCATAAGAAAATCTCATCAGGCAGCAATTTTCCATAGGAAATCATATCTTCAGCAAAACCAGAGACAAATGTATGGTGTCGCATTTCAGAACTCCCTAAATCTCCTTTCCATTCTTGGGATACTGCCTTGGATGGGAAAGCTTGCCTCATTACTTTCGGAGGGTTTTGGGCATCGAAAAAGTACCAACATTTTTCTACAGTTGTTGCCTCTGTTCTCATTAGAGCGCGCTGAACCTTTTGCATTCCCCCGTCTTCCTTTCCAGCAACAACTGATTCCAATAACGCACCATTGACGCCCTTTGCTGGATCGAGGCGCCTTCTGCTCTCTGCCTCTTGTTGCGGTGCAGCCACCATGGCCTTGATTCTTTTGGCGCTAGCCTCGGTAGCTTCATCTTTCTCTGCCTGCTTGATCAAAGATTTCATGTCAAACTTGTACTTGGTTTGTACAGGTAGCGGAGAGAGATGAAAGTTGTATGGCCCCCTCCTGAACCGTGAAGCTGGTGGGGTGCCTGGCGCAGTTTTGTAGGTACTCTGAGCGGAACTGCGCTTCCCAAGGATCACCGTCAGGTCCTCAAGGGAAGAATCCGAATCTTCGTCTTCATCGTCAGAACTTTTGATAATTCTTGATCTTCCAGCACTTGAGTCTACGTTGGCCGATGAATCTTGAGCCGGGGTCGGGGAATCCATGGCGTCATTACTTGGTGGTGGAGGTGAAAGAGTAGAACTAGAAGTTGAATCTTGCGCAAAGGGGGACAGCGTGCGACTTGAACTCAATGATGCACCGCTCTCTGCTGCCGATACGTTTTGTTTTGATGTTATTGGAGAGGGTGCGCGTGATTGTTGCGAGGGAGATGATGTATCGGGAGTGGTCGTCTTCACGGGTTGCTTTGGAGCAAAAGAATTGCAGATGGACTGGTTATTTGTAGCCATGACAGAATTCAGAAGCCTTCAAGGTCCGGCTAGAATGATCGAGTAGAAGTGCTTGAGGATAGGCGCTGTTGGAACTACGCGATTCTAGAAAGCGCGATCCATCCATACTTAATATGGGCATGGATGGGAACCTTCGCGTGGTCACATGACTAGCACGTGCATCAAGCTCGTACAGAGGCGGCCCCGGGAGTAGAGAGAAATTCTTTCAAGTACTATGGATTGGACTGAAGACGATTAATTTGAGATAACCAGCACACTCTTTATAACAAACCAGAAACTCTTTACGTTTGAATTGCATTTAATTTAGAGTGATTTCATATCATTCATTGCCTTTCTAACCAACTGTGGAAAGTTGTGCTAGGTTTCTCAGACAATCGTATCTCGTCTATGTATTTACAGTAGTATCAACAGGTAGCTGTTCCGCAGTACTAGTTGACGTCGGAATATATAAGAATTAAGTCCTTGTAGAGTTTTGTTGTTTTGTTATTACGTACCTAAGTAATAACTTTTCCATCAATCAGACGATTTAGCACTTTTCGACTAAATTCTTTTTTTTCGTACTTTGAGAATAACCTTCGGTGGTTGCTACCTAAAAAATCCTAAACAAAAAATTAATCGAAAATGCTAAGTCCTCTGATTGGTCGGAAAGTGATTACGTAATCACAACACAACATATCACTATCAAGACTTAATTCTTATATACTCCGAAGCCAATTAGTAGGTACTGGTACCTACTGTAGGTAGTCCTTTGAAGTGGCATTTTGCACTTACTCGTATTTCGTACTAGAGAAGAATATAATCCTTGCTAGAACGTCTGCTGCTTCAGCGATGTAAAACGCATCATCCCGCAGCGCCACGCCGGGCATGGCTGCCGTGCTCTGTGCAGCGATGTCGGATTGAAGCTTCACATACCATGCATTGAGCCATGCACTCCACTACCCGTAAAAACTCATCAGTAAGATCCAAAGTGGTCGGGGAGTGCGGGCTGTTTTAGTCCTGTAGGTGGCAGCGCTGGGCCTAAGTGTATCATGCCGCACACTGGATTTGGTAGGATCTACCACCAAATTTAATGTATCATGGTTGGTTTCTATACTTTTATATAATCGAGCCAATCGAAATGCTCTGATTTCACTATTTCTAAAATAACGACGATAATGCGATATCTCGAAATAGCTTCAATTATTGAGTACGAGCCTTTTATAGTTACGTACTAGCACGCATACACCTCGTACTCCCCGACCACTTTGGATCTTACTGTTGGGTTTCAACGGTATCCTACTCGTACTGTCCTGAGACGGGAGCTCTACCCAGCCCTCGCCCAAAGTTGACTACCCCAGCAAGTGTGTTTGTGTTTTTTCTCCGCAGGAATCAACCTTGCTGACTCTTGACGAGACTTGTACACTTGTGGCTCCGCTTGGCTCAAGCTCACAAATTAAGGTTACCCCACAGCTGCCTACTCTGCACTACATCTATATAAACAGTTGCCCTCTCGAACCACCTGCCCAAACTGAATCTATCCATATCCACTGTCTTCTACTCCTCGTCAAGGGATCATCAAACGTGCCGCGGTTAGAAGAACGTTGGAGGTTGTGCTATTAGCCTTGAATGTGCCAAATGGTAAAACGAGCGGCTACAAAGACCTGATTCGATGCTGGTTGTTGTGGAACTGCACCCTTCAAGAGCACCATCCTTAATCCTCAATAAGCTCGAGCGAGCGAGCCGGTTTCTCCACCAAAGCTTCTCCAATTCGAACCACGTCCTCATCTACAACTCCATATACGCCAAGCCATCTGCCTCTAGTCCACCCCAAATTAAGTCCATGAGCTCAGAGCGTAGGTACCAATTCATGGTAACCTAGATCGAGGTACTTGGTGCTGGGTACAAATAGGACCTACAGGTTGTAGCCGAGGATTACCACCCCTCCATTCTGCCGCAACGCATTGTCCGTACCCCATATCCCAAATAGGAAGCTGAGAATTTTTGGAGGGCGGTGCAATATCTGTGGCAGTCTTCGCCAAGAGCCACCATCCAATTACCATTCCCTAGCAGGAGTGCTATGTGGCGTCCTGGTACAGCACCGCAACACCGCCAACAGACGACTCGGTGCCACCGTTGAGACTCGCAGACAACCGAAGGCTCAATTCCGGATTATATGCACGTAGGAAGGCTGAATACTTTTAAATTCAGTTCAGAAAGCACCGATCTTGGGACCTTCCGCTTTAGGAAAGTACTTCAACTGTACTAGAAGAGACTCGGGGAAAGCTCAGAAGAGGGCTCAAAGGCATGAAACATCTTTTTCGGTCTACAAACAAAAAGAGTATGGATTCCCATTCCCCAACCGCGCGGCTCTCTCCAGATCAATCTCAGGTAGGATTCTACATGGACGACAAACTCAATGTACATGAGCGTCTAGATCCTGGTCGTAAGCCACCCTTCACTTCTCGACCCTATATACACGGGCCTCTTTCCCCAAAACCCCTTCCTTATCCACCTTTTTTCTTCTATCAATATGGGTGAGAAGTGTCGTTGCTAATATTCAATTTTTTAGTGGTGGGCAATGTTGTCGAAGTTCCACTTGGTCCTTCCAGTAACCATCTCTTATCATACAGCAAAGCAGAAACAGCGACTATTCGATCACATAGTATGTAACATTTTCGAAATGTCAAAGTTATGCTTATCCCCCGATATCGGTGTCACTAGGTTGTGCAACCATTTGTAATTGACTGAGAGTAAAACACATTTACTCTTTACTCTATTTGTTGTTCAGACTTGACTCGAGGCACCAAGTTCAATTGTCTTAAAAGTCTAGGACAATTTAATTTGGTATTTTCTTGATTCCTCATTATTGAAGATCTGGAAATGTGTAATAGGATAGTGCATTTCGACCAGAGTCACAAATTTCTGTATTTCCTGGTGTGGTGTCACACACAATATGGTCGACAGATCCCTCAATTCCTTCAGAATCATGGCTAATCAAGACTGCTCACACTACTTAGATCTCTCGCATTCCAGTCATCCTAACGAAAGTTTACTGCTCTCACTCCCAAGCGAGCTGATCTGCCATATACTTCTGTTCTTAAACCCTCTTGAACTGGCTTTGATCTCCTCTACATGTCGATTGCTAGCTCATCACTCAAAGTCGGACCTGTGCTGGCAACGGCATGTCCAAGACAACGTCCCAGGGTTACAGTTGAGCTCTCCATTTCCATGTAAGAACTACAGAGAACTCTACATGGCGCACGACCCCCATTGGTTTCTGAGCAAGTATAAGATCTGGTTCTGTGATTACTTTCTCACAGGAAAGCTGATACTTGCTCGCTACGACCCTCGTCGTGGATGTATCGAAGGATATCGACTAGTTGCAGCACGGTCTGAGCCAAATTATGTTCCATGGGAACTCGATGATGAAGTACTCATTCATTCGTTCAATCCAACCTTGCAATTACACATGGATCAACCAATATTACAACTTGATGCACTTTCTTCGGAATCATTAGTCTCGTCTGGAGGTGATAATGAGCCCATTCGAAGATGGAGCGCAGAGACACCAATGCGCATGCATGAACGAAACCATCAAGGTTTCTATTCGAATTTTCTTCTTGCACGGCCTGTGGAGGAACGCCCGGGAATGGCTTTGTGGCCACCTGAAATAATTCCCGCCAGTTCCCGAGTAAGAAATGCAAGTCAAGAGGCGTTTGTGGGTGGTGGACACAGGCCATCTAAACGTAGCGACATTTGTGAGTCTGCATTCCGTGTTCGACGATGGATGGAGATGGCCCCAGGTCCCAATGTTCCCGGAGTACATCTCGGCGAAGCAGTCTACACTTATGCCACGTTGGATCCCGAAGTTTACACACCCACCGAAGACAAGCCCTGGAGAGGGATTTTCGTAGGCGATTACAGTGGGCATGGCTGCGAATTTCTCCTCATGCACCAGCCCGACGATGAGGAGCCATTTGACGAGGCTTCGGTTGTGCAACGGGAAGACGAAACATTAGAAGAATGGCAACGGAGGAAAAGAGAGGAGAAGATTTTCCGTGGCAAGATAGAAGCCATCAAATTGACAGGCGATCCAAACGTACCTAGGGGGGAATACACTTTTGTCGCTGATGACATTTCTGAGAAAGGGTTCATTCGGATTGCCACCGAGAAAAGCTTCAAGGGAGCGCGAGGTTGGTTATTCTTTTCTGGAACTTATGCTTTAACATCATGCTAATAGTTTCCTCCAGTGGTAAAAAGTCGAGGTCATGTTGCTGCTCGCATGTTCCGTGACGACAGGTATATTGAAAGCCAGTTGATGCTGATCTCACCAGATCGACTTGCTCAATATTGGCTTGGGTATGGACATATTAGCTTTTACGAACGTGTAAACATCGATAAATTTCTCTCGCCATACGATGACCCACCGCCGGCATGTCCGTAGAGAGAACTTTCGGCAGCAGCTTTAGTTTGAAAACATTCAGCACTAGTTGATTCACTTAGATGCATTTGCTTAGAGCATGTAGTTTAATTGTCAATCATATGCCTTCTCAAACACCCTTTGCATGTTTTAGTCATGCTTGTGATGCTGACCAGCAGATAGAATACCTCGCTTCATGCTCCTTTCTCTGAATAAAATACATTAGATGAACGGTTTCATATGAGCTCATTGGTCAGTTGCCGGATCTCTACGTAGAGGCTATAGCTGCTACTGCTACCGCATTAGGAATGTATTCTAGAAACTCGATTCGAACCAGGGCATCTGTTTATTTTTATTGACTCTGCAGGGTTTTAGTTAGGTAGATGTAGGCCCTATCATTTCTTGTGTTAAATCCATTAGGCTCAAAGTGAGGCCAAGTCAGAAGGTGTGAGATGCGTAAATTGAAACGTTCCTCAAAATTCTACCGAGGGGGTTCTTTTTCCTTAAAAGGGATAAAACAATGTAGACGTACTCGAGCTCGAGACATAGGTCGTACAGTACGGCAAAGTTCTACAACCCAAGTGAAATGTAAATCACGCGTTTGGCGGGGAGGTGCATCACATGTGAACCCCGCGGCCAGAACTGAAAGCCAGGGATGACTACGTCACCCCACCACCGTCTCCGAGTGGAAGGCAAAACCTGGGTCCACGGGAAATCCCAACCAAACAAAATCTCAGCTACGTCAATGTCCCCGACATCCTCCTAGACTAGACTGCAAATACTGCGCATCTCGAGAAACTCTGAGCAAAAAGGTATGGGATCGTACGAGACATTGTTCATGGCGCAATCAGACTGACATGTTGTTTTCATAGATCAAGACTTTTGAAGAACGCAAATCGAGAGACTGAAGCAAGGGTGGCCATGGCACATAATTATATCTTGCGCGTCACTGCGGGTTCGGAATACGATATTGCGAAGCATCAGATTGTTCCTGTGAACAAGGCGGAATCTATAACCATAGAGAGTGAACATATATCTGTCTCCCTCAATGTTCGCATCCAGGTATGGCTTGCACTCTGACCCTCCTGGTTTGCTCTGTCCGAGTTCTAATGAGATACAGAATTATCGCGGACTCCCCAAAAACTCCCCTCAATCCTCCCCGTACTTCGACCTCCCTCCCCATGCATCTGCCAAAGATCAATACTCGATAGCATTCAAATTCACCCCGAAGAAGACAATCAATGGGAATGATCTCGTGTTTGGCAATGACTTCGATCATCCTATCCGGGACCGTTTGCCACCAGGATTTGGGACCGCATTCAAGATTGTCAAATGGGTGGTGGATCCGGGTATAGATGGGGATGTATATGGAGATAAACCGTATTTGTATGGACCTGCAGGCAGCAGTGTCAATGTACTACATGTCGGTGATAAATCTGGGGGACAAGCTGCCAAAGGAAATAGCAGCGAAGCAGAGGATGTGGGTTTAGTGTTTGAGGAGGGGGGCGTGGAGGAGGGACTTGAAGTGAGAAGTGAGAAGAGTGTTCCGGATACGATTGCTGCGCGAAAGAAGTTCTTTTTGAATGAGGAGAATAGGAAGAATTGGGAGTGGGAGGCTGGAAGAAGTTATGGATGTGATTTCTACAATCCATATTTGGATTTTAATGGTGTGTCATCCTTCCCTCATTGTCTTGCTATGGGAGCTAGGCCTGCACAGAAATATCGTTTTAACTAACCCTTTTCTTAGAATTCGCTCTACGACTGCCTGGTTTTACGTTACCTATCATGAGTAAGTGCATCTCTCGAAATCTCCGTCCCAAACAGCACGTAGCATAATCTAGCAATCATACTCAGGCCATCTATTGCTCAACGCTAACCATTTCCACAGAATACTGGGACGGACAAGGATTAAGGTAAGTCACATACATTACCCCATACTATCATATGTTTTAGCGATCAAGCCCACCTGATTTGGTTTTCTCCACCACCTACAGTCAAGAACAAAAAATCAAGCGCTCACACACGCTTAGATACGTTCTCAAAGATCGATCGACGGATCAACTTCTCTTCTGTGTGTTATTTACGTTGTATTTGAAGGAGGACGTTGATGAGGAGGGGAATGTCAACGAAGGTGTTGAGGGGAGTATTCCTTTGGAACTGAGAAGCGAGGAGGAGAGGAAGAAGTATGCGGCTGCTGCTAATGGGGAGACTGTTGAGAGTCATGATGGTGGGAAGGGCGAGGTTAAGGAAGCCAAGAAGGAGAATGAGAGGGTTGTGGAGACGGGGGCGGATGATGTTGATTAATTGTATTTTGAGGGGGGTGGGGTAATGGATATGGCGTAAAGGAGGACAGGATGGGACAGGATGGAAAATGGATGGTGGGTAAGCTACGACGAAGGATCTTCATTGGCTGTGATTGGCACTACTGGCTGTTGATACAGATGGCTACGGATACACGATACACGAATACAGGGCTTGTAACGATAGACTTTCAAGGAAGGCGTGCTGCAAGCAAACAGCATTGCAAGCGAACAGCATTGCAAGCGAATCTTCTTTTAAAGAGATCAGAAATTTAATGTGGCGGAATCAATCTCCTTCTCATCTTGTCTATCGTGTTATTCCCCAAGCGCGTATATGTCATCCATATCAGCGTAAGTTGAGAATTGCGGAGCTTAGATGCTGTGGACTCTTGAACACTACTTCCATAAACCTTTCTTTGACTTTAGAGAAGCCATTGGGCTTTAATAGCTCTCTTCTCCTACAGTATCTAGTCTACCTGGAAGTCTTTAACATCAACAGATTTCGAGGGCACTAACACCAGCCTTACATTCTATTACTTATATAAACTTTGAAGTACAAGTACTAACCTGATGCACACCCATCCCATCCAAACTCGAGGGTCCTGGGGTAAGATTTCCCTTGTACGTAAGATGATTACGGTCTAAGTAAGATTCTACCTACTACCTGAAATTTTGAAAGTAAGTATATAAGCTAAGTAACGTATTATATTTTTACTAATAATAAGTTTTATATAAGGAATTTCGTTAGTTTGTTAGGTGTGTACTAATTAGTGCTTTGGGCCGTTTATAAGATGCTTTCTAATGAGATAGGGGAAAGTGAAAGAGGGAGGAAATATACAAAACTTATTTAGTACTTCTACTCGCTTAACGTGGACTTTGGGGGTGTAGTAGTAATTAGGTATAGATATTAAATTATAAATTCTAAAAAATCTAAGAATAGAGGTCCTAGAGCGTATTAATATAGATATCTCGTTATAAAAGACTAAATAAATAACTTAAAGCCCTTAGTACCTCCCTCGGGTTCTAGGATAGTAGGTTACTCTATATTTATAGTATCGTACTTATATTAGTACCGTTATATACGAGTAAAGCCCTTCCATCTCCCCCTCTACTTCTATATATCTATTCCTTCTTAGGAAATCTACTAGTACTACTAGGTATTAAATCATTATTACACCATTATAAATAAACCTTATCACCCACCAAGAAACAAAAACATACCCCCCAACTCTTCCACTCCTAACAACCCCCTCGCCTACTACTTAGTCAAACCATATGATCTCGCGTAAATTCGTGATATCGAAAAAGGAAATGTGTGCTACGTACTATACTATACGTCTAGCCCCATCTTATACATCTTTACATCTTTCCCTCCCTACATTAGTCCTAATTACTGGACTAGTTAGTCCTCGTACCTCACTTCCATCTTCAGACTAGCTAATAAGCAGCGATCGGCGTATATAACGTATTCCATAAAACTCCAGATTCCATTCCATTCCATTCCATCTAGAATACCTCCATCGCACCTTCCAAAATGAAATTAAAAAGGAATATGTCTATAATTACTCTCCAAAATTCCATCGCTATTCTAACCAATGAAAACACCGGGAGGGGGGG